CAGACGGTTCGAAACTTCCCAGAGAAGCCCGTCGATAAATGGTATCTGTTTCTATGCCACGAGAACCAGATAACTTCAACTGTTCTCATTACCACGATACCTACGGTAAGTCTTCTCGAAATTTCAGGATATCCGGCAGTTACCTTGACCCTGAACCTTCCGTCAAGACGAAACATCTGGAAACGTCCTCGCCGTCACGCATTAATTGCAACTATGTTCGTCTTACAAGCATCGCTGACGTGATGATGATATTGACCCAGAGGCAAGTAGATGTAATTGTATATTAATGACCGTCCAGAAGATTCAGTTTCCAGCTTACAGGAAAAAATGAAAACCGATCACATTTTACAGGAAGATGTATTTTTACCTCAACATATGTTCAAGCAAGCCCATTCACTGAGTTCTCTTTGTTACAGACGTGCCAATATCAATAACTGTCAATGACCTACTACTATATAGTATTTGCTCGTTGATCCAATCAAACAGGGGTCAGTAGACGAACATACTTAGTTGTCTCCTAGTTGAGTCTCACTTTCTATTTAAAGGTTACGTAGGATTGCAACTGTACATTATGCATATCCATACGTTCAACCGATGTTTGACGAGTTGGTGGCTGGTTATGACTTTGTGGTCGCATGTCCAAACAGAAAATCTGACATTTGTTTTTTAATGATTTCAAAACACGACATGATTGTAGGCACCAAGGTATGTAAAATCGCGGTCGAGTTCTAAGATCATATTAAGCATAACATTAACGTCTGTGGTACTCGCACTCTAGAAAATAAAGTAGATACCATTCTAAATTACCCAGAACTGGCCAAAGTCGTGTATTCAGGTGGTTGATAATGTTTTATCGGCCGTTCATACAGCGTCGCGCGTCTCTCGTGAGACCACTAACAGTACAACTCAGCAGAAAAACAGTTTTCAATTTACTACACATATACAATACATTTTTGGGGCAGTCAATGTAATTGCAGACGCCTCGTCTCGTATAACTTACTTGAACAGTTTTCCAAGGAATCGATCTTCTCAAACTCACTCAGCTTCAATAAGAAGACACTGATCTTCAGCACAAGTTATCTTCGACGACCATGAAACTACGGAACAAAGAGATGGGAACAGGTAAGGAAACTACTATATGACACATCTACAAATAGTAATCTTCCGGCTTTACCAAAACATTATCAACACAAAGTTTTCAGTAAATTACACAAACGTCCCCATTAAGTTTTTTGAGCAACCACCGAGCTGATAGCAGAATGATTGTTTGGCCTAGTATCAATAAAAACGTGTGGGAGTGGGCATTTCCTATTGTGAACTGCCAGAAATCTCAGGTGATTCGACACAACAAATGTCATTTAGGCTCTTTCAAAAGTACCAACGATCGTTTCCTTCGGATTTGGTAGGACCCGTACCAAATTTAAACGGACACTCTTATCTCTTGTGTAGATCGTTTCACATGATGGCCAGAAATAGTGTGGTGCGTGCTACATATGCTGACATAAGTAGTATGTAACACGAATCAGGAATATAATGTATATCAGCAGAAGATTGAGAAGATCGGGAAAGGAAGAACGGGAATCGAAAGCAATTAGTACGAAAATGCAAGAACGATGAAGTCCGAGACAATTATTGAACATTTTGCAAATTAAGTATTATAGTATGATATTTCTATTTTACCAAGTAACTTCGTAATTTTGTGCTAAATATAATTCGGTTGTCTTCACCTGTGTTCTCCTTCATTACGATAGCACCTATCAAAGACAATAGTGCTGAAACAGTAGCCCGCGCTTTCGTCAAACGGTGGATAGGAAGCTTCGGCTGCCCTTCAACTAGCGCTACAGACCGTGTAAGCCAGTTCGAATCTGGACTACACTACTAGTAATCACACAATCGTGAACGATCACCCACCACTCACAAGCAGGATATTGGGAAACATTTTGCTTTTTCTGGATTCTTTTTATTGTTGCGTCAAAACAACTTGTTATCTCTCCCAAGGTGTTTACATATGCGCGTTTTTATTTTTCAATAAAAGTCTGTGAAATCATTTTTCTCACTATTGCATATTATCTATACGCGTGTATACCAGATTTTTCTTAGCGCACGTTTTGCGTCCATACTCATAGTTTGACTCATAACTATATTTTCCTTTTTTCTTTCCTGAGACTCCTGGAGAAGATGAAAAACTGATGGGAAATGCAATGAGTGGAAACTTTCATTGCACTTTTCTATGGTTATATTGTACCACATTACCCTTATATCAAATAAAGACGACGAACTATTAGCCACGACTGACTGTTTACTTCAAACTTACTAAATAACCTGAGTTCGGATAATAATTAAAGCAACTGATCTTGTCTCTCTAGATCATATAAAATGTTTATGTTACTGCATTACGTTTGTCAAGTAGTTTCATAGAGACTAGTCGTATATAATGTGTCAAAAACACTATTCTCAAACCTTTGTTTTACATGAGATATCTAACGACTTCATCATGAATACATAATGTAATGTGAAAATGCGTCGGTTTTAGGTAGAACATTTGATTTTAACCTCAAGCTGGCGCATTTTGGACAGCTTCAGTGTCATGGCTGAACATTTATACATGTTAGACTCAATATTGGCACAAGCAATCCTTTATAAAAAGACTACATCTTTATCTTTGTTTTCCTAACTGTGAAACTGAAATCCGTTTCTCAAATTCTAAATCCTATTATCAGAAGTTTTTTTATTCTGCATCACCTTACACGTCAAACTGTTATAGAAGTAAGTTAGTACAATAGCTTCCCAAGAAATAGTTCAGCACGGTCATATCGTTGTTTATACTAACTCACCCTATTATGAAAGTCAGCGGATGATAGTAATAGCTTTCAAAAAACACTTACGGACTGAGGATGGAATAATGTATTCCATATCAGGATATCGAGAATAGACAGTAATCATGCATGGGTATGCGAATCACGTGGTCTCCCCTAAGTGTTCCCGTGTTGGCCTTTCTAGACCCTCCCAAGGATTTCGACACCATAGACACCATAGATAGTACAGGCAACACTAGAGCCACCATAGCTGTTTGACAGAATACTACTAGCTGGAGACTTCAGCACTCCATCCTCACATTCATGTTTAGTGCGATCACAAACAAGGTGCCCCGAATGGACAAGAATGTTCCCTACCTTAGCTACACCGAGGGAAACTACCCAACCATGAACAACTATCTTCAACAGACTGAATATCTACGAGAGTGGTGGAGATCAACAGTCGATGCACATCGGGAGATAGCAGAGGACATTATAAAGGACGCTATCCAACAAAACATACCTCACTCAGTACACCCGGAAAACGAAGGTTCTGGGTAAAATGGAACACCGAACGCTTGCCGTAGACCAAACAAAGAGTACAAAACACGCGGAAAGTTCTTCCGAAGGACTCCGACAGTAACTCCTACTTGGAATTGAGAGATGGGTGCAACGTCAACGTCCACAAAGCTAGCAGATATTTTCAGGCCAAGCCAGTAACTAAAATCTAAACTAACCCCAAATATCTCTGCAGATGCATGACCAAAAGGAAGCCTATAAACCATCCGATCTTCACTATCAAATGATCAAATAACAATCGTCCTACTAATTTATAGTTAGCAGAGATCTTTCACCCCTAATTCGTTAACCAACTACTCTAGGAACATGCATATGCTTTACACTTTTCAACTCTGGGTTCTGGGAAGTTTACAACTAAATGCCGTTTTATTATCAGTGAAACCTATATCCTTATGCCCAGGTAAGTCACTGGGACGTGACAAAATTCGACCTATAATCTTGGAACAGTGCTCGAAGCCCATCAGTACACCAGTAGGTGATCTGTTCAGGAACTTATAAGAGTCGCATCAACTGCCAACAGAATGGAAACAGGGCGCTTTCTCTCAAATCTTAAAAGGAAAGACAGAAAAGATCTGGCCTGTCACAATAATTTCAATACTATCAAAGATAATGGAAGGACTAGTCAATGAACAAATGAGGGAATACATGGATAGGGATAACATTCTTCATATAGGCCAGCACAGGTTTAGGAAAGGCAGGTCATACACAGCCAATCGACTCATAGCGTGCGACAGCCGGCCGATTTGCTAAGATCAAAGACACCATTTCATGTAATATTCTTCGATTTAACGAACGACTCGAACATGGTAGTGCACGCGTTTCTCATAGAGTGTTGCAAAGATACATGACCGAAAGGAAGCCTACAAACCAGGGTTCCTTTCGGTCTCGTAATCCAAAATTATTGTCAATGAGTTCAAATATGGTTGATATAATGCAAAGTGTGCATCCAGAGTAATCACGTTACGCTAATATCAATGCGATCTATGATCACATATAACAAATATATCAGCGTTCGATTATCATGACAGCTAATAAATGACAACAGGATGTAAGTGCTTGCAGAAGTGAATTTGTGAAGGATAATCGTTGTCATGTGGTGAGAGTACAAAACGAGAACGGAGGATTAAGATCGAAAGTTTTCAAACGACAACTTTGCAGCCAATAATGGCAATTGTACAAATTATGAGAAATAATTAAAAAAGGGATTAATAACAAAAACCAATCACAAAATAAGTTCGTGTTCACTATCTCTACGAATGGAAGTTAACCTAAACAAAAGTATTTAGTCATTAAAGTGTTTGCACACATCAGATGAAATCATGAAGATCATAAATATTGACAAAAGTTACTCATAAACTAGGTTTATTACAATCATTTTCACACAACTATCTTTGTCTATCTATGTATGTCTTCTATGAACGTGCTACTGTACTAAATCTAAGCTTGCAAGATGTAAGGCAAATAAAGTGAAAGGTAAGGCTTGAAATAAAATTCTCTGTGAAAAGTATGTTGTCCTACAGAGGTCGTTTGACTTCACCGCTGTTGGACTTCGTTAGCGCAACAATAGTAAAACAGCTGTCTGACCTTGAAGTGCACAGCCTGTCCTATCCGGTGTGGATGTATTTCACTACGGTTCTGCATGCTTTGCTCATTTATGTTAGGTGTTTTTAGATTTCACTCAAAGTTAATTTCGGGAGTGTTGATCTATCCAAATAGTTATGATGTAGCACTGAAACACCGTTCTGCATGTGGTTTGCCTATAGGAAACGTCTAGAAAAATGGTCTCATTCCACAACGTAAGACATAAGTACGTAACTGCTCTTCCTAGGTATTAACGTGTGCAGACACTAATTTAGTATTCATGTAAATGAATACAATTAGGAGACTCAAGCTCCTCACTTTGCGAACAAATTGTCAAAAGCCTTCAGAATAGGTTATTCTTGTCTCACTAACTTATTAGTGGCTCGTGATAGCTGGTGCGCTCTTAAGGACCAAAAGCTACCTGTAGACGTAGCCTTCATTGATTTAAGTAAAGCTTTTGACAAAGTCCCGCACAACCGGCTGTTTTATAAGTTAAGAAAAGTCGGGATTGGAGGCAATTTATTGATGTGGATAAAAGACTTCTTAGTTGGGCGTCAACAAAGAGTAAGGGTAAACTCAAAGCTATCTAACTGGGAAACTGTGCTTAGTAGAGTTCCCCAGGGTACAGTATTGGGGGCAGTGCTATTCTTTTATGTAAATTACCTTCCTCGTCTCCTATCATCATCGGCCTAGCTATATGCTGACGATGTCAAGATATGGAGAACGATACGATGTGAGGGTGATAGCTTAGAACTCCAAAATGACCTGAAGAAATTATCTGAATGGTCTCAAACCTGGCAGTTGCCGATAAATACTTCCAAGTGTGTTGTGATGGATATCGGTCATCAAGGTACAAATACATACACGAATAACACTGAGCTACCTGTCGTCCAGACACATAATGACTTAGGAGTCATCGTTAGCCAAGACTTAAAGACTACTGCACACTACCGTGCAATAGCCGCTAAAGGTTTTATAACGTTATGGTCAATACGTAGGGCTTTTAGTCATGTCGACGCTAAAACGTTTTTGACTTTGTATGCAGTGTTCGTACGTCCTAAACTTGAGTACTGCATACAAGCGGCTAGCCCCTGCTTAAAAAAAGACGGTGAGCTTCTGGGAAAGGTTCAGAGAACGGCGACTAAGCTGATTCCCGGAATAGCGAAGCTTCCGTATGAAGTTCGACTGGCCAAGCTGGACCTTTTCTCGTTGTCATATCACAAAACTAGAGGCGACTTGATTACAGTCTACAAATTGCTTAGTGATAAATTTGCACCTAATATGCCCTCATTTTTCTTGTCTTCCAAAACAGAGAATTTACGAGGACACTCCAAAAAAGTTCACAAGCCAAGAACAAATTACTTGTCAGCTGACTATCGACTTTCCCATCGAATAATCAACGAGTGGAATTCACTACGTCAGCACGTGGTTGTGGCTCCATCCGTCGACTCTTTCAAAAGAAAGTTGGTTCAACTGAGAGACTACCATTGCCAGGACTAACATAGGCCATCAAGCCTCCTGTCCTCCCCAAACTGAAACCGAAACTAGTCCTCTATCAGTTGGGCTCTGTTCAGTCTCTTAAATGGATTAGTCCATCTGTTGAAATTGAGAACATTAGGTCGCGATAGTTGATAATTTGTGCAAAAGTTCTTACTTCAGGCGGATGTGGTTGGTAAGCCAATTACATCTTAGTAGATGTAATCACCTGAAGTCTGATCTGAGTTACCTTTCAAACAGTACATACAGTCTGCACAGTTTTTAAGCTGGGACACATTTTGTGGTTTCTGTGATAAATCCTCTCGGTCGTGTTCCGTGAAAAGGGATGGTTGAGTACGATTGAATTCAATCAATTGACATGCCTAGCATCCCATTCCCACACGACAGTCGAGCAATATGATTAGCCCTCACCGATTCAAATTTGTGTAGTAAGGACAGAAGACCTACGAACTATATTATTCCTTTTCTAGTATGATTCTGTGAGTGTCCAGTCTTCTCTTAAAAGAGTCAATTGAAGGTGCGAACACCACTGCTTCGGGCAGCAGGTTCCAAGTATTGATGACTCGGTGTGGAAAACTGTATGCCACAGGTAGTTTGTTCGTTCTTGGCTTTTCTACTCGCCTGCTATGTCCTCTGAGATGTCCCGATCTAGTGGGAAGAAAAAGAGAATAGATTAGGTCCAAAACCATTTCTCAGTATTCTGTACATCAAAATTAGATCTCCCCTTAGTCTGCAATAGAAGAGAGTAAAGTTGTCCAACTTTTCAAGCCGCTCTTTGTATGGTAGATCCCGAAGTTCTGGAATTGTGCTGGCAGCTGCCCTCTGTACTTTATCTAAGATATCCGAGCCACCTTTTAAACAAGGGCTTGCAGCCTGAACGCAGTTCTCAAGCTTAGTTCTCACTAAGGTTGTGTAAACTGTGGTGAGCATTCTAGTATCTAACTTGGTGAATGTCCGTTTTAAAGCCCAGAGGGTTTGAAACCCCTTAGCTGCGACCTCCAGGCAATGGGCCGTCGTCTTAAGATCATGAATCACTGTCACCTCTAGATCCTTATGAGACCGGACCACGGGTAATGGCACTTCCCCTATGTTGTACCTATTAATTTTTGAATCCCCTTAGTGCATGTAGACACACTTTGCTGTGTTGATAGGCACCAGCCACTCTTTAGACCAGTTAATCATATTATTTAAGTCTACCTAAAGAGCACGTGCGTCTGTGTTTCCAGTTGTTACTCACCAGATTTCTACGTCGTCAGCGTACAATAACATTGGAGACTGTACTATGCTTGGCAGATCATTAACATACATTATAAAAAGTAAAGGACCTAGGACAGAACCTTGACGTACTCCACTAAGTACTGGTCTCACTTGGAATTTATTATTACTTTCTGTCTACGACCTACTAGGAAATCCTTCATCCATTTTAATAGAGGTCCGGCAATACCAAGGTTTTCCAACTTCAAAAGCAGTCTATTTGTTGGCACCTTGTCAAAAGCTTTACTGAAGTCTATGTAGACAACATCCGCTGAGTTCCCGTTGTCTAGTGCCTTTATCCAGGACTCCTTTGCCATAAGGAGGTTCGTTGTACAAGATAGACCCTTTCTAAAACCATGTTGTTTTATGTTTAGCAAGTTGTTGGTTTCCATAAATGCCGTTATGGTCTGTTTAACTATTCTTTCCAATATTTTAACTACAACACTGGTGAGACTTACAGGTCTGTAGTTCGATGGAAGTTGTCTTGGTCCTGTTTTATGTATAGGAGTGACGATTGTGTCCTTCCGATCCATAGGCAGCAAACATTGTTCAAATGACATGTTGAATGTCACAGTCAGTGGGGCCGCGATATATTGTGCAATATGTAGTAGTTCATCTTGTCCTGTTGACTTTTCCATGTCTAAGGTGCTAAGAGCCTTGAGCATATCGTCTTGATCGAAGTCCGCGGTTAGCAGGCGGTTTGTTGACTGTTTATTTTGGTTTGGTTCTTTGTCTAGAGGAGGTTCTTGAGTGAAAACTGCCCCAAAATAGTCAGCCATAGCCTCTGCTTTTTCCTGATCTTTCTCTATCATTTCAGATTCACTTCCTTCTTTAATTAGGTTGAGAATCCAATGATGCATCCTTGTTCTGTAGTTTATGTACGAGAATATTCTCTTGGGCTGCTTGAGTGCAGATTGTGCCAACTGCATTTCATATTTTTTTTGAGCTTCACGAAGTTTTGTTATACACTTGTTTCTTACCGATCTTTAGCGTTCCATCTTGCCAGGGCGGATGGCAACATCCCAACATTTCTTCTTTTGTTTTAGTAAACGTCGAATATCCTGGCCTATCCAGGGATGACCGTGCTTCTTCTTCTTTGGAACTGTCCAGGGTATGTATGGTTGAGTTTCCCGATTGTATAACTGCCTGAAAAGAGCCCATGCCTCTTGTAATGATGCCCTTGAGTCAATTTCCCAGTTTTCAGCCGATGCTGCGGAGTTGATTGCCTCCATATCTGCCTTCCATATGTTAGGACGGGCCGGCGTAACTGTTTGACAGGCAATCTCAGCCATGAATTTAAATAAGATGACTGCATGGTCACTTCTCCCTAGTGGTGGGAGAAAATTCATTTGACCAACGTCATCACCGTGTGTGAAGACTAGATCTAATAGAGAAGAGTTTCTTAAGTCATATCTTGTGGGGTTTCTAATGTTTTGGAATAAAGCTAATCCAAGCGATGTTTTCAACAGTTTGCATTCGAACGACGTTACTGATGACCCTACTTCTAAGTTAACCCAGTCTATATACGGTGCATTAAAGTCGCCTACTACAAGGCTTTTACCCTTTTTACACCAAAACTTAAGTTTACTTAGGAGAAAATCATCTGCTACACATTCTGGACTGCAATATACTACAACTAATTCAATATCTTGCCGTCTACATTTCAGCTCACATCGCACCAGTTCACATGTCCCTGAAACACGTGCCACTGTCTCAGCTGCTCTTACGGTTAGGGTACTTTTCGTGTACAGGATAACCCCGCCTCACGGAAATTTTTTTAGAAGTACAATAAATCTGTACATGATAAGTGAGTTACTCTGGGGGTAGTATTTTGAATAACGTTTTCTGAGGAGTCGTTTATTTTGCAGAGCATCTAAAGTAAAGCGTAGCCCATATGATATTGTCAATTGTTCTTTAGTCATTGTTTCATATCTCCATGTAGTTATTCTTGTTAACATCTACAGGAAATAATCTGCTCACCATAGTTCCTGGAACTAGCTATGTTTGTAGTTGTCTCATATGTAAGGACCTCGAAGTCATCGCTCATAGATTGAAGTTTTCTCGTTATTTCCCGTCAAATGAGATGCCCGATGTAGACTCTCAATTTTTGTGTATTATTTGCCGACGGTTGGGCTGAGTGGAAGCGAATTAATTGTCAGTTTATGACGTCATATTTTTTAAGAATGACAGTTCTGTCGGGTCAACACTCATGGATTCTTCACAGCTTCTTGGGAAGGGTCCAAGTGGTCATATCGTTCAGTAATTTGAGGTTCAGAATAAAATCCAATGCTTTAGTTTTCTGTTCTCATTAGTGGTACGACTCAGGACAATATTCATTTTGGTTTTGTTCTTATTATAATCGCTATCTTAATGCTTGCTAGTGAAGTCTCAAAATATTTTCTCATGTTTTTTTACAATATTGTCATTGAGTTTTGCAGCTCATTGTTATTTTTTTTATCAAGTTTTGTATGATAAGTGATAGACAAGTAATCGATTCAACCAAATCAAACTGACTTATAATGGCACAATTGTTCAATAGTTAGCGGTTAAATATCTTGATAGTCACGCTTCCAAAATCTTACTTTTACTATCTTAATTTATTAACCTCACCAAACTAACCGGTTGTGACACCAAAACTCAGTTCGTATTTTGTCAGATATTGTGTTTTATAAGCAGTCATCTGTGTAACTATTGTATTTTGAATTATCTTTCAGCGACTATGGAATTTCTGGATATCAATCTGGATGAAGTTGCTTCTGCTTTTCACGAAGCTAAACGTTTTGGGAAAAGGTGATTTCTATTAAGATTGGTAATTCTTTTTACTTCAGATGTAAAGAAGCTCCTGATGGTGCGATTGAAGTTAAACGATGTCTCAAAAAGTTCCCAAAGTTCCAAACATACGTGCTTTTATCAGGTAGCGGTTGCATTCATGAGGTTAGTGTTGACAGCTGAAACTATTGTTAGTTAGGTTGTCTATCCTGCTGGTTATGCACTCAATGAATTGAAGAATCTAGAAAATCCTGTAAGGAATTATCCCTTTACTTTGGATCCATTTCAGCAACGCGCCATTCTATGTATTGAAAACGAACAGTCTGTTATGGTATCTGCCCATACATCTGCTGGTAAAACTGTGGTTGCTGAGTAAGTCATTTTTGTTCAGTATATTCATGATTCCTTAGGTACGCAGTTGCTAAAAGTCTGAAGCAGAATCAGCGCGTTATTTACACAACGCCTATCAAGGCCCTGAGCAATCAAAAGTTTCGTGAATTCTCTGAGATTTTTAAAGATGTTGGCCTAATGACTGGTGATATAACTATCAACCAAGAAGCAACTATTCTTATAATGACAACAGAAATATTGCGATCTATGTTGTACAGGTAATTGCCAGGGTTGAATTAATTCTGTTGAATCAAAGTCGATCGATTCCCGCGTTTGTGCTGAAGCTTTTCAATATTACTGATAGATTCACACAATTTTTTTCTAATCATACGATGACATTTGTACGTTTTCAGGTTTCTGGATTATTAAAAACCATTCGATGCACATCACCCTAATCTATGTCATTACACATGTTCTGGACATGCAGACATACAGTTTATGGTCGTGTAATGCCTGTCGGAGCAGAATAATCATTTAGTGGAAGTAGTTCAACTCTAAGCTTGTGAAACCCAGCCCCTTATAGTTGATGATGCCTAACGAATCTTTGTGCTCGATAATTATCGTCTCTAAGAGATTACTCACGTCCGGTAGGAACGCTGTGTGAATGATGCCAACGTACGGCAGTATTCGGGTGTACCTAATATACTCCATCTAGTATTATCTTAAAACGTCAGTGTTAATGATACCGAAACTAGCCGTGTATAGATAATTTATCCCAAAACTCAGTCTGTATTCCGTGCGAAAATTCGAAAATATACATTTTCAAATTAAAGCGAATTGCTAATTTTTTTATTCTTTCAACACTTCTAGCCCGACCGAAATCAAATTAACGCTTACTGTTGTGGCGACCACTCACAACCTAGTTTAATCTATAGAAATGTACATAGCTTACGTAACACGTGTCTCCGTTGAGATGGTTGGGACACGTGTTGCGTATACCCAACGACCGACTGCCTCGACGTGCTATGTTCAGTGGTATAGGAGTAGGTTGGAAGAAAGCTAGGGGCGGCCAGACCAAAACATGGCACAAATCCATGAAATCACTGACAAGTGGACTGAGCCATGTTAGTAGGTGTAGACTACCTGGTTGGGGACCGCGAGATGATAGCAACCTATGGTCAGAGACCCTGAATGACATGGCTCAAAATCGTTTGCAATGGCGCAGGTGCATCCACTCTTTGTGTTCTCCCAAATTTTGATCTGATTCCCCTTGTCTTTTTTTCTCCTCCCAAATTTATTTCACTGTATTATACTCTTTAAGTAACATCTCCAAACACTAATCTTTCCGATTACTGCTTATACTCTTATTACCTCTACCACTACTTGATTTGAATGTACAACTGCATCTCTGTGCTAATGTGGTATGGCAACTCGAACTGATGTACGTACGTACGAAGTTCTACGTTGTTACTGACTGGCTGGCTGACTGACTGACATAGCTCTGAATCGTTTCCAGTGGTGCAGATTCATCCAATTGTCTGCCCTTAGGTTTTGAGTTTTAAAATTATATCATACTTTTCTTGTTTCATTCTCTAATTAGGTTGTATTGTTTAATGTTTTCTACCACAAGTGATACGGTTACTAGTCTTGTTTTGATAATGTCATCTTGTGCTGGTATGGTTCAGCAACGTGAACCGATCCACATATGTGCCAGGTTCTTTGCTGTTCCTGACTATTTGCTTTTATATATTCTCTACATCCTTTTTAGTCCCAGTTCTTATTTTTAAAGGTACCTCATAGCTGTATGATTATTTGAAGGTGGCTGTTAGAATTTTCGTAATCAAGTCCAGTATGAACGAGTAATTTAATCCAAACAGTTTGTTAGGACTAAAGTACGACTAATGATAATCCCGAAGGAAATCAATTGTGTTGGTTTATCATTTCAATTAATTAATGTCAAAACATTTTCTTGAGCATATTCAATAAAGATGCAAATGCAAATTATCATTCCTAGATGAACACTGACGAAATAAAACGTTAAACTTCGTAGTTTTTAAAATGTAGAATATGGCTTTTAGTAACAATTTTAATGCACTTGTGAAATAATAGTTAGGAGCAAACGATAATAAGCTTTTAAAATTATTGATGACGTGTTGGTACTGATTTACTGCAGGGCCTATGAATGAGAGATGGCATGTGCTAGCTCATATTGAAAAAAAAATTTATGAGAACTATACGTCTTCAAAAATGCGCTAAGTAAAACTTGTCATCTATATATTGTTTATGTTTCGAATCATTTTTAATTTGATGATAAATACTGACGCAAATTCGCTTTAGTTTCGTAGTTGATTTTGATTTTTCACAGTATTTTTACATTATGAGGTGCATGTAAACAGCCTAGTCGAAATAACTCTTAATAAGTAAATTGTATTACTTGCTCTGTTACTCATTAAGTGATATTTATTTGTTCTTTGGTATCATATTCTAGAAGCTCAGATGTAACTCGTGAGGTTGGCTGGGTTATTTTCGATGAAATTCATTATATGAGGGAAAAAGAACGTGGTGTTATCTGGGAGGAAACCATCATCTTATTACCTGATAGTGTTGGGCTTGTCTTTTTAAGTGCAACAATTCCAAATGCTCGTGAATTTGCTGAATGGATAGTGTTTTTACATAGAAAGCCTTGTCACGTTGTTTACACTGATTGTCGTCCTGTTCCATTACAGCACTATGTTTACCCGTGTGGTGGAGATGGAATTCATTTGGTAGTCAATCAGAACGTAAGTTTCTTAATATTCTCATTTGAAAATGTTTATCTCCCGAATGATATAACTGATAAGTACTGTTTTAATTTTAGTTGATCTTAAAAGTTTATTTGGTGGTGACTTTCGATTGATAGTAATAGTAAATTGACAATTCCTTTCTAAGTACTTATAGCTACAGTCTAAAGAAGTTTAAACAACGCATTTCGCTAGATATTTTGAAGACAGTTGGATCTTTTTAAGTCAAAGTAGAATACCCTCATCATCATATGTTTATTAAAAAACTGTCTGACACAAATAAATTTAATTGCTCGTCTTCTGAAGAAGAGCCGTTGATTCTCAATTTTAAGGTTCAGTAATCATGAGCTTGCTGAAGTTACATAATGTGCGACGTTGATGTAACAATCGTAGTCAGCATATTCACTTCATTCATCTTTCTAAGTATGTAAACTATGGTAATTTTGATTTTAAAATATAGTTTGTAAGCGGTTAATGGTAATCTAACGACGTAAAATGAGTTCATATTATTTTGCCCAGTTCTTTGTCCTTGCTTTCCAAATATCGTAATTCGAAAGTTTAAATGTGGATAATTAGGAAACTCGTTTCTTTCCTTGAAACAATGGGCAAAGTTCCTTTAGTGTTGATAAGACGAAGTACTAGACTACATCTTTTATTAATAATTCTAGTACTTATCTAATAGTCAAGTATCAAACATCCTCTTTCGGGACAGTAACCATTCAGATCGAATGATTTATACTGGTGTTATTTTATTACAGTTTCCGATTTTCAAATCGTATGACTCCTTTAGTCACTACCAATTATTCATTTTCATATGTTCTCTTTACTGAAATGACTCCCTCAGCATATATAGACTGTTTACAAAAAGCAACATAGCTCGTGACTTTTTTTCATTTTACATATTTCAAGTGTATTCCATCCACAGCCACATAAAGACGGTCAAAATGAAATCTCATGCTATCTCAAAGCCGATTCTACACCGTCAGACTGATAAAAGATTCAAACCACATGCGAAAGTTTGCTCTCATTGCTGTTTGTCGGATGCCGTTTTTTTACCGTGTGTTCGTTTATGCTGTTATTTGATATGTTCGTGTATTGTGTTTATAATTCGCTGCATCATTTTCAGTGCTGTGAACGAAACTATATCTATTCTCCTTTTTTCCTCCTCACTAACTTGAGTAATAACACCAGTTTAGTAGACATAGCATTTTGATGTTGACCCAGTTTGTCGATTGCATATCAATTAAAAAGTGATTAGAATATTTAAACTGGCTTTTTGTCATTTAGATAAATCATTGTAAAAATGTACTGAAAGTCCATAAACAATCTTCTTACTGAATAATAACTTACTGAAGTAGAATTGGAACTTAATCGATATTGATTTGCTTCTCATAACTTGTAATTGGAGATATTTAGGCATAGATTTTTATCTGACTATTCCATTAACTTTTTGGACATTCAGTCACTCTGTTTCTGTAGCTATATACATTGTTGACTATGATGATGTAATCATGAAAATTCAGTTAGACCCATCTATATTTTAAGTCAATTACGTAATATTTTTTGAGTTTGATAATAGCTGTATCCAGATTAATTAATTATAGGGAAAACACAGTCGTCTTCATATGTCACGAATGACGCTCTCTATGTCCATATAAGTAGTTTCTAGCAGTCAGTCATCGTGTAAAACTTAGAAATTTTATACTATCAGGCTTAAATAGAAGTCTTTTTTTCCTTTTCACTTGTGCTTATGTTGAGAGTTAAGATAATACATTACGTGCACAGTTGACCCTAAATAATTTCGCTGTTGTGTATCCCTAACAGGTCGTTTCGTTTCTAATCGCTTGTTTTCCAGCGTGAATTTATTGAATCTAACTTCAATCTTGCTTTAAATACTTTACAAAATGCCGCTGGCAATTCGATTTCTGATATGAAATCCCGTGGACGTAATGGTGGCAGCACCCGTAAGTTGAATAATTTCTTTCTAATCGCGTACTCATGCCTTATAACTGGAAACGAAGTTTTCATGCAAGAAATCTCATATTTTCTCACATATTGAGTACAGAACTCGGAAACGGTTGTTGTAAACTGATCTAAGGTCTGTAAAATGTACGATCTCATAAAGAAAAAACAAGAATCCTCATGTTTTTGTTGTTTTTCTCCCAGTGATCTTATATCTAATCATGTTTTGAATGAAGTATTTTCATGTTTTCTGTTTTAACCTTAATACAATATTAAAACCTAAGTTTACAAAACAGGCAAGTTAAATTTTAAACTTCAGAATGAATGTTTACAATATTCATAGAGTAAGGAAAGATTTGAGGTCAAGTCATCAGAATGACAATACTACAATATACTGTTTAGTAGTGTGTACTGATGTTTGACTAATTTTTTGAAGGTAATCTGCATTGAGTCGTTGAATACCAGCTAAACACTGAACATTTGTTACATCTTAATGTTGTACTCGTCATACTCATATGTCATATTTAGGGGTGTAGTATTCAATAAATACAATTTCGCACCAGTGAACATGATGAGTTTTCGTGTACCAGACTTAAGTCTCTGCCTACGCTAAATTACTTGTTAATTCTAACATTTGTCGGAAACTATATTTTTTATAACAAATGAACTGCCTTTTTATTTGAGATTTGACTCCTATCAGTCACATTCTGTTTTCTTCCTTCAAAATATTATCAACAGTTGTCCAGTCACTTTTAGACTGTAGCATATGTAAACAAGGTCATATTTGCTAGTATGACCTTATAGTTATAACAAAAGTTTATTGTTATGTGATTCATTTTTGGTGCCTTGTTTTTAAGGTTCTCAACCATATTGCTCGAAGTTAGTCAAGTTGGTAATGGACCAAAATTTGGAGCCACTTATTGTATTTTCATTTAGCAAAATGGATTGTGAATTCTATGCAATGCAACTAAACAAGATGGATTTTAGTACACGTAAGTGTCACATTTTGTTACTGCATCGCTTTTAAAACTCCGAAACAATAATTTCTCCGATCTAAAATATAGTATTCGCTTGTGGAGAATTCGTAGATACAAGTAGATTAATAATACTGAAGAACAAAAATCTGTATTTTTAATGGTTGGCAAATTCTATCCAGGATTTGAAATTCTGCATTGGCCTCGTCACAGCTTGTACTATAGGGTATACGTTTAAATAACCCATATTGATAGACACAATCTCTGGAGAAGTAGTGTTGTTCTTCAACGTTCCTTTGCTTTCTGAATGTTTGTGAAGAAAGTATGGCTTACCGTGGACAACTGACGTTTTGATTTTGATCTTTGTTGATCACACCCATTATGAATGGTTATCCCTGCGTAATATTTGTTAAATTTTTCATGTAAGATATTTGGTAGTAATTTGCATCTGCCATCTACTCAGTTTACTCAGTGAACTTTAATAAAATTTAGTGACTCAGTTTTTTATGAATCGTACAAACCAAAACGTGGCATCAGTTTATGAAGTCATTAACTGTTAAAATGAGCTTTGTAGGTTGGTAAGGATTACTTGGTTAAGGTCCGCGTAACTATCGTAACCAGTGGTTAAAAGCTGTTGATAACATGGCTCAGATGTATTCACTGTTTTACCTTCCCTTAGTTCTTGAGTCCCTAAACCTCCTTATACCTTTTTTAAGTATCATTATCAATGTTTGACTTGGTGATTTCGAATAAGTTGACCATCGAGTACATTTTTAATAATGGAAATAATAATGTACTCGTAAAAACCAAGTAAGTGGAAGATTGAATTTCCGACCTTCACAACTTTGTATAAACCACTTTTTCAAAGAGTAAAGATAAATTAACGCAAGTTCTATAAATAATAGGAAATAGAATATTTTATCGAAGCCAAAATCAAAATGGGTCTGATTATGTCAATCTGATGTCATTACGGTCAAGGTGTTTCTGTGTGGGACATACATGTGTATTTATGTATATATTGTGAGGTGTAGAAAATACGGTTTTTGTAGTGTGGAACAGTAGGGTTACAAATATTTGTTTGCTAATGGTGTGAGGCTTCCCCACAAATATTCTTAGAAATATATTAAGGTGAAATTTCTTTTAAGCATCATTGTCTAAGTTAGGTTGAATAATTCCAAATAAATTGAGCATTTGATGGAATGATAATGATAAAATAATCATACGTTTTTGACATCCCAAAAAGAATTCCTGACTTTTAATGACTTGATGTAAGTCGTTTCAGAGAATAAATGCCTTTTTGTTGAACAATAATAATAAACGGAATATACCCATTATGACATTAAATAAGAAAGAAAGATTAGTTCAGTGAAGAGTTCTCTTTTCGGCGAATTCATTTTCAAAGCTGTACAATCGCAAATATATATACTTATTTTTACAAGGTGATAATAATACTGATAATAAACTTATGTTATACATGGTGACAGTGAGGTTAACTAAACAAAGGTATTAGAAAAAAAAATTTTTTAAAACAAGGAAAGTTTGATAGTTAATGGCTTAGATATTCATCGGGTAAGGGTCGCTCAGCATGATAAAATAACATAAAATGTTGAAACTGAGATGAAATGTAATCGGAATGATCGTGGAAATAAAAACAAACCGGTTGGGGGTACAAGATTTGAAGGGAAGATGGAAGGTGAAGCAGGTGGCTGTAAAAGAACAAGAGTAATGAGAAAGAGAAAAAATTTTAATACATTAAGACCATGGTAAAAGAAGAGGTTGTACCAGTCTCTTTTGTACACATAATCCTGGTTTTTCAAAATGTATGGCTATTGCCTCGGCAATGCAAAGAAGATGCAGTCTAATTGTCTTAGGAAGGCTTCTACTTACCTTGTAGATGACTTTGAACGCAGAGTCTGTCTTGATTGAGTGACCTGTGTTCACAAGGTGTTCGATTATAGAACTTCTTATTGAGCCGCTGCCTCCTCTTCTTAGCCATGCCGGACAATGTTCTTGAATTCTTTTGGATAAAGTACGCATCGAACGACCTATATACCTAGCTCCACAAGAGCAGGTAAATTGGTAAATGCACATTGAGTTGGTCAGATGCGATAATTTATTTTTCAGATTATTGGTGAACAGTAATCGGCTGGAGAATAATATTCGCAATGTTGCTGCGAAGAATGCTCTTTTTAAAGAATCTGAAATTCTCCTCCTTTAAGATATATGCGGCTCCATCACCTTTGAAGTCGATGTTCATGTATAAAATTTTCTTTTCTACTGCAATTGTTTGTGGTCTTGGCATTTTCGGTTTCATGTTCTTATCAATGAATACAGAAGGATATCCGTTTTTGATAAGTATCTCTTTTAAAAAACTCAATTCTTCCTCTACGACCTCGGGGCTACAGATTCTTCGTATTCTTGTGGCGAGAGTTATTATTACGTTTCTTTTTCGGCTGATGGGAACCCAACTGTGGAAATTTGATAGTTGGCCATTCCATATGGGTTTCCTGTAGATAGATCTTTTTAAAGTACCATCTTGTTTCCTTGTTATATCTACATCAAGGAAGTGAATATTTTGTTTGCTTTCAACTTCAATTGTGAATTTTATTGAAGGGTGACAATTATTAAATGTTTTTAGGAGATCATTTAAGTTACATTTGTTATCACAAATGATAAAGATATCATCCATATACCTTTTATATAAGTGGAGGTTTTCTATAATTCTTTTAAGTTGGTTGTTTTCTAAACTGGCCATGAAGCAATCTGCCAGTAATGGACCAAGTGCGGATCCCATTGCTATACCATCCTTCTGTCTATGAATTACGTCGTTGAATGTGAACTGTACATTGCAAGTACAACGTAGTAATAATTCCTTCAAATAAACCTCAGGTATCCCAATGTTTATCTCAGTATTGTTTATGTACTTACAGATAAAATTAATGGTTTCTGTGAGTGGAACATTAGTGAATAATGATTCCACATCCAGAGATAGCATAATTTTGCCACTTACATTCACTTCTTTTATGTGCTCGATAAATTCAAAAGTATCATGTACAGAATGTTTACAAATGAGTTTTCTAACGGGTTCTAAGAGATTCGTCAACCACTTTGCTATAGGGTGGTAAGGGGATCCACACATATCGAGAATCGGTCTAAGAGGTAGGTCAGGTTTGTGTATTTTTGGCAAACCGTATATATATATTTGCGATTGTACAGCTTTGAAAATGAATTCGCCGAAAAGAGAACTCTTCGCTGAACTAATCTTTCTTTCTTATTTAATGTCATAATGGGTATATTCCGTTTATTAAAAAAATTCCAAGAACCTTTCGACAGTAAAGGAACTTAATGAGTTTCTGCGTTTTTCTGTCAAACTTGCGGAAGTGAATGCGAAGATTAGCTTTCTTAACGATTGCGTTAAAATGCACAAATATCCTAAATACTACTATAAAATTCCTAGACGAAACCATATTTATCCAAACTCGAAATCTCTTAAACGCCATGCACAAAGTGTTATTGACTCTATTCGTCCACGCATTCTGTTATTGGAACTTAACATTTCACAAAGATCTCCTGTATTATATGAATTATCACCTAACGAACACAATCTTTTCACCGACTATGTTACCACAGTTATCAACAAACGCACAAAAAACTTAATATCAGACCTCACTAAAAGTTTAAAAACTACAGAAACACAGCACAACTTTCCTAACAACTCTGAGAGATATGTGTTTAATCATTCTTCAATATCGTTGACAAATGTACAATTAGAAGCCTTATCTTTGGGGACAAAATTCTGCGACATGAATAAAAAAATTAACAAAATCAACACACATGTTCAATCCGAAAACTTAATCAAGCATTCCAACGTTTCAAATCTACTCTTCTTGACAGCTGCAACCAATATATTAGCACAAAAGTAACAGGTAAAAGTCTACTAACAAAAGAACAGAAATCAGATAAAACTACTAAGAAATAATAAAGACTTGATCATAACACGTCCAGATAAAGGTATTGTGAATCGCGAGGTGGCTACTCTAATTTCTACCGATTGACCAGCTTCAGATATCCCAGTTCGACCCCAATACTGTTCCCAATCTCCAATATATCAGAACACGAACCGTAGATGAAAAATTGTTTATGGGATCAGGAGCCGAATGATGATTTACAAACAAATGCATATTTATACAGTTAGGATTACTATAAATATTGACCAACAGAAAGATAACACGTGAAATAATATTGATCAATGGGGAAATGACACGCGAAATAAATATTGATTAGTAGGGAAACGACCAATAGGGAAATGACACCATTTAACGTTCAAGGGTAGCATTAGACTTAACCGGATAATTGTTTTTGGGATATTTTTCTGAATATCCCAAAAAAAGGTGCTGGTTTAGTGCGGCTAGATCGCAAGGATTATGTTGAGAAAATGAAAACGTTGTTATCAGATGACACCAAATTCTCAAAACACAACAATGAGAAAAACAAAACTGAAATTATAGAAAAGCAACTAATTGATGTCCTTAAGAAAATGAAAAAAGAGCAGTTAATCAACGAACAGGTCTTTGAGCACATAAAACCAACAGCATCGATAATACCGCGATTATAAGGTTTGCCAAAAATACACAAACCTGACCTACCTCTTAGACCGATTCTCGATATGTGTGGATCCCCTTACCACCCTATAGCAAAGTGGTTGACGAATCTCTTAGAACCCGTTAGAAAACTCATTTGTAAACATTCTGTACATGATACTTTTGAATTTATCGAGCACATAAAAGAAGTGAATGTAAGTGGCAAAATTATGCTATCTCTGGATGTGGAATCATTATTCACTAATGTTCCACTCACAGAAACCATTAATTTTATCTGTAAGTACATAAACAATACTGAGATAAACATTGGGATACCTGAGGTTTATTTGAAGGAATTATTACTACGTTGTACTTGCAATGTACAGTTCACATTCAACGACGTAATTCATAGACAGAAGGATGGTATAGCAATGGGAT